ATGTTTTCTTTGAATGTAGTTCGAATGAGAGAGGGGGAAAGGTCTGAGATGATTGGGAACGCACGTCTGGTTTGGCACTCGAGAGAAGGCGGGACGGATGCAATGTCTGCGCGAAGCACTGTCTTTGCTATGGGCTGCTGACATGGCTGACGTCCATCTTGTTGTTCCTGTAGCCGAAAGCTTTTGGGCACAGTCACGATGAGTCGCATGTTGACATGCCGCGCTGGCGGCACGGATGGTTGGTTTGGACGGGCCGGCATCGTGAGTTCTGACCCAGGGCATAGCTTGTTGTTTTCCGATGCTCAGCTTCGTGAGGTCTCGGCCCTGGAACTTGGGGGACAAAGTGTTTAGGCTGGCATGTTTACGCTGGCATGTTGTCGGCATAGTCCCTCTGATATCATGTCCCTGTCTTGCTGTTTACAAACCCCACTGCGAGGGGCAACTTCATCTGCTGGCACTCTCATATTAGATGTAGCCTGCATCCTGCCTACTGGATATTCGTAACTCCCACCCTGATCACTCTTCATCATAGAGCGACAGCCGGCTTGTGTCAACAGCGAGCTGAGCCGTGAAAGCGTACGGCCTGTCGAAACAAGCATCCCACCTCGTCTCCCCAGACGTCCAAAACATCTCCAAGACATGCTTCGCCGTCAAGGGTACATGGGTCCCGAGATTACGGCTCAGCTCTGGCAGCTGCCTCGAAACAAAACGGCGCATCGCCGCGTCGCCGTGTACAGCCTCCACTCCGAGCAGGACCATTGGCCAAACCAGGAACCGCTCCATCTTGGGAGACTGTAGAGCTTCCTCCAGGTGGCTCTTTAGGATCTGGCCATGTGTTGCGCAGATATTCCTGAGCAGGGTCGTTGTTTCGAGGACGCAGAGGCTCTGCAGCGAGAGGACGCAATACAAAGCCACGGCAGCTTTATAGATTGCCCCCAAGACCACCCAGTCTGCCATAGACGATGGCGTAAGTTGAGGTTTACATTTGGCCCATTCTTCAGGCGAAAAATCATGAATGCGCTCTAGCATCTCATGTGCCTCCTGGGCGTGGCTTTCGGACCCGGACCTCGAAGCTCGTGACCGGAGATGGTTGATCCTAATTAACTCCCCATATAGCGACAGCGGACACATTTGGAACGGCGACGACGACGTAGCGTATTGATCGACGACAAGATCCAGAGCGTCAAGCTGGAGACCGGTCATGGTAAGATCTGACGCCGGGCATGTTGTGTTCCCAATCACGGCGACGCTGTGCGAAGGGGGACGGGTCAGCATCTTGCACGATGGGGTCTCGGATGGCAAGCGACGTACGACCAGAGGACAAGCAAGAGCGGCTCCAGCCTCCTCGACCCAGCCATTGCACGGAAGCCCCCTCGGAGAGAGATAATTCTGTGGACGCCTTCCATGTGGCAGCGCCAGTTCAGAGAATTGCCGTTCTGGACCTGTGATGACTGCTGGTACCTTTCTTCTTTTGATGGGGGGACGAAGGACTTACATCGGCAAGCAGAATGGTCAATACTCCTGCAATCAATATGTCGCTCGTCTGCTCATCTTGCGCGTTGAGATGCTCGGTTAACGAGCGGACTGCGAGACCCCAGTAGATGTAAAACCTCTCGGACAAGACCTTTCTGGACTGTATGTCGCTCCGCGTCCGGTTGAGTCGGTGGCTCAACGTCATGCAGACCATGCCGAACTGCAAGTACTCTGGTGCCCTCGCCCCCACGCGGAGGTGCCTGTCCGTGAGAGGGTAGATGTGCGGATTTTGCCCAAATTGGTGGATCGGGACCAGGTCCTGATAGATGCACGAGTTGACTGCGATGGATGTCAGTCCGGGCTAGTGAGGGAAACTTCTTGAATAGACGACTCACAATACTCCGCGGCTTGAGGCAAGGCGCAGACGTCGGTCTTCATCTCGAACCAAGGCACGTAGCTGGTACTCGCCAGGACCCGACTTCGGCGCGCGACGTTGTTTACCTGGCATCTCTTCTCCCCGTCTGGCTGATGTTTGTTCTTCTTCCTGCGGCCCCTCGACACGACTCTCCCAATTGCGAGCCACTCGAGTCTCATCGGCTTGACGTCGCCGTACCCGGGACACTCGACACCGGCGGCCGAGCACCGTCTGCACGCCGGCTCTGTGAAGTCGCACACAAGACAGCGGCGACGACACTCCCAGCAGTGGCGTTTGTGTCTGCGACTATCCTCCATTACTGGTTTGTCTGGTGCGCGGCCGAATTCCTTCGAGCGATACTGCCTCGACAGGAACGAGACTTTGTTAGTGACAAAATATCCAGACTTGGTCTCCAAGCTGACGACGCTCCCAGGTCTGGGCTAGACCAATCACATCGCCCGGACCGAGCTGAGCCCCTTTCCAGAAGGATGTCAGTGACGGACGTTCGCTTGGCACCAAAAACTGCGCCGTTCATTTTGTGGACTCAATGGACTTTGTTTCGCTGGTGGCTTTCTTTGCTTCTGCTTCGATTTAAGGAGGAGCATATATGTTCACGTCAGAAACGATGGCAATCTCAAAAGAGCAAGATTTCTAATCATCACTGAAAACGGCATTTGAGCCTTACTCGCAGGAGCATATCATTTTCTTTATATCACGAACTGTTTCAATCTCGTCCGGCACACTAGTCTTACTGTCAGAATCTCTAAACTCTGAATGAACTGTATCACACGGGGAAAGAGCCCGGTATACCCCTTCTATCTAGCTACACTAGGGACTCAGCAAAGGCAGCAGAAGGAAGCCTCCCAACCTTGTAATGTAGCCCCAAACTCCAAAAACTCGTCGAGGTAGAAGCCAAGCCCAAATGTTAGTTCACTTGCATAAAATCTTCAACACACACACACAACCCAAACATCAAGTATGAGCAACTGCATCACTTCGCTTGAGCGGGGGCTGGCAAAAGCGAAGAGCTCTGCTCGCCCCGTCCAACGGAGCTCGTCGAACGATCCCTCAACTTCACACCCTCCCCCCGAACCGTCCTTCTCCTACGGAAAAAGATCCCAAAGGTGAGGACGTTAGCCGTCTTGGCCCACAGGGACCTCTCGTCGACATCCTTCTCCCCCACGACCTCGACGCCGTCCTGCGCGAGGTACACATGATGGCCGCGCGGCAAGAACCGCCCAGGATGCCACACGTTCCAGATCAGCGAGTTGACAAGCATCAAGCTCGCCTCGAACACGTAAAAGTAGACCTCGTACCGCAGGATGGGGCTCAGCCCGCGCAGAGTCGCCATGTCGTCGAGGTCGACCTTTGTGCTGCCCGTGTGCTCGACCAGGCGGTACACGCACCGGACGAAGATCAGACACATGCTCGCGTACAGCGTGGATAGCATTGTTGTTACGTTTTTGGACCGGATATTGGCCTTGGCGACGCGGAAGTGGAAGAGGGCCGCGAGGCAGATGAAGATGACGATGAGGACGAGCTGGATGCCTAGCGCCGCGAGCGTGAGGTGGCTGCCCAGCGCCTGCTTCTCGGGCGTCGAGGAGGGGTTTGAAGAGAGGGCCACGCCGAGGGCGTTGAGCAGTTCGACAACGGCCATGAGGCCGCCGAATGTAGTCAGGACTTTGGACGGAGGGAGGGGTGCGCAGTGGGGGACGTAGTAGAAGATGCGGCCGAGGACATGGTAGTTTGCGAGTTCGAGGAGGGGCCTGGAAGACGAGGTGTTAAAGGATGCAGCCAAAACAACTGGAGACCCCGGTTTACTCACGGACAGACGTAGATAAAGACTTGGCTGAACACAAAGACCATCAGGGGCGTCTTGGTGGTTTCGCTGTAGAGGTAGTGATATGCTCCGTACTCACGGAGGGAGTAGCCAGCTGTGAAGAGGACGGCGCACATCGGGTGTAGGCCGATCAACTTGAACGCTTTATAGCGGCTAGGAGGCTGCGTCAGAGATGGTCCTCGGAAAATGACGACGTACTTACTAGCATTGCCAAATGTGAAAGATGGCCGAGATGCCGTACAAGGCGATGAAGATGATGGGAGCCCATTTGTTTGGTGCGTAAACGTACAGGCTGTACAAGACTGAGGGCCGAGTTAGAAATGATACGTTGGATCAAAGCCATCGGTAATCATACTGGGGTCTCCAGCTGCCATGTTCAAGCACGTGTGATGTTTTATGTTCTCTAAGAAGTCGTTCAGGTGATGAGGAGGTAAACGCCCTTTTGTCGAAACCGATTGGAAAGACAAACACAGATACTGCGTGTGATGGACAGGGAGAAGAGCACTTCTATTATACACAAAACCTACCCAGCAGGGAGACATCATCCTCTCGTACCGCACCGTCATGCTATTCAATATGCCCACATCGTCGTCACTTACACAGCAAGACGCCTTACTCAAATAGGAAAACAAAAATGCCAAGAAACGGGATTCGCAGCCCTGTCAGCGCGAACCATCATTCTAAGCTAGCCCCAGTAGGAGTTTACAGACGCCAAGGCGAAAGTCGGAAGCCTGATCAGAGCATGTTCATTTTCTGTTCGGTCTATCGAGACTGAGAAGACCTGTTGGGCAGGTTGATCAATTTCCTACTATTGTGGATGAACCTACACCCCTCTGCACCCTTTACTCTGCACCGTCATCCGCGTCCTCGGGCCCGAATGCGCCGTAAACTCGCGGTGTGGTGGGCGAGTGCTGACGTACGAACAGGCCGGCTTAGTACAGTATTGTCGAGCGAGTGCCTTCACTGACACCGCCAGTCACGAGCACAAGCAAGTAACATTGCTGCTCTAAGGACGATAATGTATTACCAAATGAATACTGCTGATCAGAAACTAAAATTGCCCTCAACGAGTCTCCGCGATGCACATATCACCCAGATGCAGACACTCCATACGTATTAGAAACATGTGATTCAGGCATTACTATATGGAACAGCCGATCTGAGAATGTAGCGCAATTTCCGCAAACCGCCGCCTAGAAATAAATCTACTTCCTAACCAATCCCGAAGACTTTGCAGGTCTACCTCCCGTCAAGCCCGAATGAGGCACTGACTTAATCCAATACGCGGCCTGCAGTCGCGGCACCGCTCTTGTCCCGCGTTTCCGTCTTCTTAAGAGACCTGCCCATCTGGATCTCGCTCAGGAAACCGGACGGGCGACCGCCGCCACCTGCCGGGGGGCCAGAGGGGGCATCGCCCGCAGGAGGAGGGGGAGGGGGTGGTGGCGGGGCTCCCATGCCTGGCGGAGGCGGGGGAGGAGGAGGGGCGCCCGGTGCGTCCATGGAAGGCATGGGTGGCGGCGGCGGCGCCGACGGGGCCTCGGGGGCCGAGGCCGGAGGTGGAGGAGGAGGAGCAGGAGGAGCGCCAGAACTAGGCACAGGGGGAGGAGGCGGGGGAGACGTGGGGCCGCTACCAATCGCCGGGCTGACGGGGTTGGACAACGGCTTGTCACCGGTAGCCGACAAAGGTCGGGGAGGTCCCATGGTACCGAAGAGAATGGAAGCCAGTGCCGCTGCGCTACTGCCGCCCGGGCGATCATCGTCGTCGGAATCTTCGTCGTCGTCCTTGTCCGTGCCCCAACCGTCGTCGTCATCATCAGGACGCTTGCGGGAAAAGGGCCCGGAGGGAGGTGCGGGAGCGGGAGCTGCCGGCGCAGCCTTGCTCTCCTGGGTCATGCGGTGGAAGGGGTTGGTCGATACCTCGGGCTGAGGCGGCGCCGGGGGAGCGGCAGCTGGGGCTGCCTGCTCACTGGGGCCTGATGTCGACTCAGAAGAGTGAGAGAGCATGCGGAAGTACGGGTTGCGGCTCTCGTTCTCGGTAGGCGGGCTGGTGACCACAGTCGGCACGGACGGCGGCGACGACTCCTTCTCCAGCTCTTGGCTGCTGATCTGGCTGCCACCCTGAGTAGGGGTCGACGCCTGGGGGGTGATCTGAGACGGACCATCCTCATCATCAGAAGAGCTGTCATCGTCGTTCAATGCCTCGAGCTGGCGCTGGAGCTCCAGCTCGCGCTGACGAGCAGCTTCGATCTCGGCTCTTTGAGCAGCAAGCTTAGACTCCTTCTCCTTGGCCTCGGCCATCGCAGCCTTCTTCTTGCGCTTCTCCTCTTCCTTCTTAAGCTTGCCGGCCTTAACCTGCTCCTCAAGAGCCTTGAGGCGAGCCTCGGTAGCGGAACGCTCCTTCTCGACGTCATTCTCTGCCTCTCTAGCGTTGGCCCTGTGCAAAGTTAGTTTTTGGTTCTGAATAGTTACTAGTGGGACTTACTCCATCTCCTGGGTGGCACGCTGCTGCTCTTCATGTTCCCTCGCGAGACGCTCCTCCTCAGCATGCTTAGCAGCTTGCTCCTCCTCGGCCCTGCGCGCAGCGTCGGCACCATCGTTCTTGGCGCCCTTTCTGGACGGCGGTGGGGGAGGTTTCTTGCCGCCGGTTGAGGCTGGTGCCGGGGCACCCGTTTCTTCCGCAAGGCGTGCCTGGCGCTCAGCTTCGCGGCGCTCATCCTCCTCCTCGGCCTGGCGCAGCTTAGCAGCACGTTCGGCTCTTTCACGCTCCATTCTCTGGGCAGCCGTCTCACCAGGCTTACTGGGAGCCTTAATGCCCAAAGCGGCAAGTCTCTCAGCCATGCGCTGCTCAGCCTGTTGCTTGATGAAGGCCGCACGCTCTTCGGGGGTCTTGTAGGATGAGTACGAGCCTCCACCGGCGCTCGAGGGAGTGGCAGTACGCGAGGGAGGAGCGGGGCTGTCGTGGCGAGCTGACGGTGCAGGCTCAGCGCGGGCAGCCGCGGCGGGTGATCTAGAAGTAGTACGCTTGTCTTGGGCCCGGACACGCGCGGCACGGCTAGATCGCTGGAGATCAAAGATGAAGTCTCTGACCTCGTCCTCGACACCGAGAGCATCATCCCAGCGGCGCTTCTCGTGCTCGTTGGTGGCGGTCGCGTTACCTTCTTTCAGGTTATCTTCAATGCCGCGGGCAAAGTCACGCACAGAATCCTCAACATCCCTGACCATGCTCTCGTTGTTCTCCTTCTCGGTCTTGATCTTGAAGTTCTCCTCCTCGAGGCGCTTGGGACCCTCGTCGTCGAAGCTGGATTCGACCTTCTTACCGGTCAGGGCGGCCGTGCGCTGCTGCATCATAGCCTTGGCCCTAGCCTTAAGTCTGTCAGACTCTGTGACAGCACCGCCAGGTCCGGTTCCGACGATGGGAGCAGCGCTGTTGGGGTGAGCCTTGGCGTCCTTGAGCCTGAAGAGCTCGAGCCTGGCGTCCGCAATCGCCTTCTCCGTCTTGCGCACCGCCGAAGCCAGCTCAGGGACCTTATCTTGGAGAGTCTGGAGCTGGCGCTTGAGCGCACGTCTCTCGGCATCTGAGTCTCCCGAGGCGAGAGCGGCGTCGGGATGCGAGTCGATGTCGTCCTGGACCCGGCGAATACGGCGGTACAGCTCCTCGGCCTCGCGACGGTCACGCCTGTCAAGCATATCATCTTCTTCCAGACTCTTCTCGTCAGCAAAGTCCATCGCGTCAATGAGCACCTCCTTCTCCCGAATCTTCTTTCTAAGCTGGTCGAGACTCAAGTCGTCATAGGCAGACGAAGGGGCCGGAGACTCGGGCCGCGGCGAGTTGTTGCCGACACGACGGCGAGCGGAAGACTTATAGCCGACCTGATCGTCGTTGTTCTTGAACACCGTCGCATCCTTGCGGCCGTTGTTGTGGCCGCCGGGCGTGCCTCTGAGCGAGTGGCTCTTCATGTAACTGACTCCAGTCTTCTGGGGCAGGAGAGCAGCGCCGGACTTGTTGCGGAACTCGGACTCCTGGCTCAGCATGGACCTGATGGTGCCGATGGACTCGTTGATGTTTCTCGTAGAGGGAGGGACAAGCTCAGGCGGCAGCTGGTTAGGCAGGGGGTAGCCGTTGAGCTTACGGTAGATCAAATGCATAGCGACCGCAAACTCGTCCAGGTTCAAGCGACCCTTGTTGCCATTATCTGCCAGAGTCCAGACGCGCTCGAGGTCTGGCTTCTCCAGGCCACTCTGCCCAAAGATCTCAATGGCTTGATCGCCGCCGATGAAGCCCTTGTGGAGACCGTCCCACGCCTTGAAAAGGGCATCGTAACGCTGCTTCTCGTCCTTGGTGATGGCCCAGGGAATGACCGCATTACCCTGGAGACCCTGGGTGGTGTAATTGCCCGCCTCCCGGCCCGACTGAGGCATCATTCTAGCCTGGAGGAGATCAATGTTTGGCAGGCCAGTCGCGGGCGTGTTGACCAGACCCCACTGGCCGGGTCTGCCAGTCGGCTGGGCATTCAGGGGCGCAGCCATCGGTCCTCCGCCAGGAGTCAGGCTGTTGCCATACCCAGTCGGCATCGGCGGCATCGGTGGGCGCGGACCCGTGTATCCGGTTGGTTGGGGGTTCATGCCGGGGAACCCAGTCTGCTGGGCCTGGAGCTGCCCAAAGCCAGTCGGTTGAGGCTGCTGTTGCCCAGGGAATCCAGTCATCTGCGCCTGCAATAGCTGGGAGTTGGAGGCCTGAGGCTGGGGCTGATGAATCGTAGGTTCTGTACTCGATCTGCCCGTGTTCGTGCTTCCGGGGGTGGCGCGACCCGCATCCTCGGCAATGTTGAAACTGATGATGTCCACCATGCTCGAGACTTCGTTCTTGATGTTGTCGGGCAGCGAGGAAGGCAGCGACTTTCCGGTAAGCTTCAGGTTGCACAGGTACATCGCCAGGGCAAACTCAGGGAAGTGCAGTTGTCCGGATCGAGTCGTATCGGCCAGAGTCCTGAGAGGGGGGTTCGTCAGTGCTTGCTGGAAGAACACGCACTAGAGTCCAACTTACCAAATGTGTGAGAGAGAATCGCCGTCCAGTCGCGATCTCAACAACAGGTCTCTCGCCTTGTCTCCGGACATGACGGTCTCTGAGCCATCGCCAACCGCGGACTTGAAGAGCGTCTCGAACTTAGACTGGTCCTGAGCAGTGATGAAAGACAGCCGGATGTTGGGGATCTTGCTGGAGGACGACTTTGGACGTCTGCCCGCAGGCTTTGGTGTACCTCCAGTCTGGAAAGACGCGGCCATCTGGCTGAAGCCCGTGGCCTGCGGCTTGATAGGAGCCGGAGACGGCGCCGAAGTCTGCTGCGGCTGTTGCTGCTGAGCCTGGGGAAAGCCCGTCTGCTGAGGCTGTTGCAGTCCCGGGAAGCCCGTCTGCTGAGGTTGCTGCGGCTGTGGAAAGCCCGTCTGTTGAGGCTGCTGCTGCTGGGCACCGGGGAATCCAGTCTGCTGGGGTTGTTGTTGTTGCTGATGTTGCTGCTGCTGGAACTGAGACTGGAACTGCGGGGGGATCGAGGGCATCGGCGGCGCGCCGGTCTGGTAGCTCTGCTGCGGCTGGGGCTGGCCGAAGCCAGTCTGCTGAGGTTGAAGCCCCTGACCAAAGCCGGTCGGCTGAGGTTGGAGACCTTGGCCGAAGCCCGTGGGCTGAGGCTGCTGCTGCTGTGCCATGCCCGGGTAGCCGGTGTATTGCTGCTGGAGCGGCGCCTGGCCGAAACCCGTGGGCTGAGGAGCAAACGGACTCGGCTGCTGCTGCTGCTGTCCCGGCTGCTGGCCTCCCATGCCGAAGGAGCTTCCATATTGCTGCGCGCCGGGCCGCTGGCTGTTGCCGCCCAGGAAAGCGTTCGAGTTCGAATACATGGCGGGCGGTTGGGCCGACGAGGTCGGGCTCGGAGGACTGACTCCTGACGGCGATTAGGAGCAACCGACGCGGACTGGCGATGGATTAGACGGCGACACAAAAGGGTGCGATCGGGAGGGACTCCGTCGATGGGGAGTGATGTGATGAATGCAATTCTACTTGGTGAATGCGAAGAGGAAACGCTGGTGTGTGGAGAAGAAGGACGTTGTCGCTGGACGTGATGGCAACGCTGATGACGAAGCTCTCGCAAGTGTCCAGCTTGACACGGAGGTTAGGTTTCAGTAGGTAGGAAAGTGCGGCCAGCGGCTTGGACGGGGGCCCGTAGAGTGCCAAAGTGGTTGGTTGCCAGTTGGAACCTGGCAGTAGGCTGAGCAGGGATCAGTGGCCCGTCCTGCCCAATGTCCCAATGTGGCTTGGAACAGGTGGTGGGTCTTCTCTTGCAGAACATTACGTGAGGCCGCATGGACTGGGACGGCCAATTGCATCAAGACTTTGCATATGCCTCTAGCGGAGACTCATCTTACCTTTGTTCACCCTTTTTGACTCGCAAACGGCCGAGGATACGCAATTGAGCTCTCATATGCTGGAGCTTGTTCTTATATCATCGTATCCAGGACCTCTCCAGTGATGAACAATACAGAAGCACTTCCTAAACTCTGCGTGGGCAGGTTCTTACTCACGCCCACGCCAATGCACAGAGCGACAACCAGGTCAACCTGACCACCAACCACCCGCAGCCGCGCTCCATGCACCTGAGGTGCCACTTGGCCGCCCTGACTGCACGCCATGACGATGTGCGAGCGGCATATCTCCATAAGTCCACAATTCAAGGTGCTGCTCTGGTGGACATCGCCGCATCACTGCAGACCCCGTGACCGAGAGGCTGCACACCTTGGCGCACCAGAGCCGTCCACAACCCAGACGGAGAGGGCCAACCTGGTGTACTTGCTCTAATACATGGCGACTTAACACCATGATATTGCCCCATATTATGTTCATACCGCGCATAAGAGTCTGGACACGTCGGCTGCCTGCCGCAGGGAGATGGCGGCAAAGCACAAGAGGCATCGGCATGCTCGTGCCGCCTGCGCTTTACATATTACCAGGGATTCGAGCAATAACGGGCGGTCCGTTGCGGAGTGAAACCTCTCAGCCTCGAGCACAGCGCCAATCTGACACATTCGACCTGCACCGAGCATGCCGCCCCCACGGCGCCAGCGCGGGTATTGGTCAACCACATTCGGCTCCGAGTGGGGCCCGGCTGTCGAGCCGCCGTGCATGCAGCTGTCCGAAGCTGCGTGTTGACGTTGAGGTTGAGATTGAATGACATGATGAGACTTTGCTCTGTTTGCAAGCAGAATGAATGGTAATATTCCAGACTTCAACAACCAAGGCACCTTCCCACGTCGACGTGCCACGCAAAGCCACTCACAAATCACTCAAAGGTCATGCTGAACACCAATCGCAGGATGTCTCTCACAAATTATGTATTAAACAGGAGAGCCCTAACTATCAATCCAAACACCACCTCGGACAGCATCCTATACACTATTGCCCCCATAACCAAGGGCGTTCTTCTTTCCAAGCGAGCGGACCTTTAAACGCCAAAGCAATGTAATTCCCAACGCATCCAATACTTCCAGCGAGTCTGGGTATCAATCCCTCGGTAATAATAATAATGATGATGATGATGATAAGAGTGTCTCTTTGAAACGCCATGATGACCATAAGATAGCCCCCGAATAAACAAAAAAAAGAGATCGGTTGCCGTCGCTTGATGTCTAAGATAGAGTTTGTGTTCAAAAAATAAAAGTGATGATGGGGTCCGATCACCATCCCCGTGTTTCGTTTTTTCATTTCCTTTTCTGCGTTTCTTTCATGTTTTTTTGCGTGTGATTTGATTCGTTTTACTTTCTTGTTCAGTCGAGTCTCGTGGTAGACACGGAAGTCCCCGGCCTCCTGCCGACGTCTTGGGGCTGCGCTTGCGTCGGTTCGTCGAGGTTGAATCCGTGTTGAATCATGTACTTGAGTGTGTCGAGATCAAAGTCGCCGATGCCTTCCTCCATGATGCGGGGGTCGCTATGGGTGCTCGGCAGGCTGGAAGACATGGCGTACTCTTTGGCAGGACTTTCACTGGGAGCCCATTCGGGGGGTGTCGGCAGGGCGGAGGAGCCACTGGCGTGTTCCGTCGCGGGGCTGTCCATAACCTCCTCGGAGGATACGTGGTGCGGCGCGGCCTTCAGGCTGTAGTCTTCCCATTGCTCCATCGGCGGAGTGCTGGTGCCGAACATCATGCTGCCGCGGTATCCCGCCGCCAGCATGCTTCCGCGGAAGCCCGGGGTGTCCATGGGATTGGGCGCGGGGCGCTTCTTCATGACCTTGGCGGCGAGTCCACCAAAGATGATGCTGAGATCATAGGCGATCCACTCCAGCTCGGGGTCCTCCGGCATCTCCCACTGCAGACGAGCCATCTCGACCTCGTATGCCAGGGTGCGATTCCTCTCGAGGATCCTGTCAATCTGCGCCGACTTAGTGGTCCATTCCTCCTTGAGGTTCTGCATCAGGGCATTGTTCCGGTCCATCTCCATGGCGAAGCTCTCAAAGGTGGCCTTTGAGAGCACCTTGGAAGCGCGACGATTCTTGACTGCCTGGGGCCCGGTCGGCATGCCGACGTTTTGAACGCTCGACTTGATGGCGCGGTTCAGCTCGGTCTTGGAAAACGGGCAGAACTCCTGGATAGACGTGTTCTGTTCGAGACTTCTCACCATGTGAGACAGGTTTGACAAGTTGAAGCTGTTCTCTTGCACATCGAGCGTGCGCAGGGTCTGGTTCATGTGAATTGCCTCTGCCAAATCTCCAATGTTCATGTTGAGCTTTTGGTTGCGGATTCGGAGGTGGAGCAGCGTCTTGTTGCTGGCGAGACCCGAGAGGGCGCGAGAGAAGCCTAGTCCGAGTTGACCCTCATCCAACTTGGCCGAAAATCCGGACAAGTCGAGGTACTGGATTGATTCGTTGGTAGCGAAGAAGTCCGAGACTGCCTGACAAGTCTCTTCGCTGACTTGTCCAGGGGTCGACGTGCCGACCAAACTCAGCAGTCGGATTGACCTGTTGACCGAGAGCGACTTGATGATCGTGATATAGTTTTCCTCATCCCGGAACTCAATCATGTCCATGAATAACGACGTGGGTCCAAAGTTGTATGCGATCGCAGATGACAAGTCCTCCATGCCGTTTTCAACGTAGTTGCCGTTGATGGAGCATACGATCTCTCTGCCCTGACCCATGCTGCGGAAGAGAAGGGCGATTTGCGAACCGGACAGGCCGCAACCGTTGAGATCGAGCCTACGTAGGTAAGCAGATTCCTGCGAGAGCAGGTAGCCCGCGAGAATGTCCAGGGTGGCATTGTTAAGCTACGAAGTGTGAGCTTTTATCAACGAATTCTTGTGATGCCGGACAAACTTACGTGCATGTTTGAGAGGTCCAGCTCCTCCAGACCCCAGCTCATGATCGTTTCCTCGAAGAAGATGGGATCTGTGAACTGGCTTAGGCAGTTGCCGGCAACGCTGAGCTTGCGGAGACAGGCGAAGTGCGATAAGCTGCTCTTGACAACCATGTGGTCGACATGGCCAATGTTTCGAGAGGTGTTCAGTGCTTCCAGCCTGTATCCTTGAGAAGGGAGTGCGTCCCAGATTTCTTCCAGGCTTCTCTCGTCCAGGTTGCATCTGGAAATGTCCAGCTCTCTCAGGATGTCGGGAATGTGCAAGACGTCGACTACACTATGGTCAGCTATGCACAGGCCCCGTTCACACGAGTCGCTTACCAAGATCAGTAACCTCAGCGGCGGTGAGAGGGTTCCCTCCCACCAGAAGAGTGTCACAATGGCTGCTGCCAGTTCTCAGGAGCAACAGAATGGGACGGACGACCTCGGGCTCCTTCTTGGATCCAGCTCGAGTGCGCGACACGCCGACAATGTTCTGTGATGCCAGGACGTTTGTGAGATCAATCTTGCGTATTGATCCAGACGTGAAGGCAACCGCGTGGACTTCCTGAGACAGAAGAGGGGCAGACTTGATGATGTCCTTGTGTACGCCATCGATCACGAGACCTGAGAAAGTTAGTGCGGGATTCTTGTGGAGTGCGCGTGGTGACTCACCATCCCGAGAAACATCTGCTATTGACTCTTCGAATCCTGGGTGATCTGTCAGGCCGCAGAGGGGTGCCAAGTCAACGTCACGGAAGGAAAGTGCCTTGAAATAGTCGTTGTATCGGAGGGATTTGAACACGGCCAGCAGCTGCAGCGGGGTGTATCCGCCGTCCTTGGAAGGGAGCAGGCGGAACTCGGGGCAGTGCTCTCGGCGTTCGCACTTCCAGTTCACAGTCCACTCCGGAGGTGGGCAGCGGAACGTGGCGCAATAAGCCTCAAGAGTTCTCTTAAGGCCACCGAAATCCTGCCCTGAGGGCAGCAGAAGCTGGGCTGTGAGGCCCCTAATGTCGAAAATGTCCCGTTGCATATGCTGAGGCCAGGCGGGCTTTACTGCGCGGTCTGCCTTCATGAATGTCATGACGATTTCTCTGTACCAGCGACTGGCCAACTCAAGCCGCTTCTCGGCCTCACAGGGTAGGCTGTTTCATGTTAGTTTGTCATAGGTCACATTGGGCAGTTGCGAGACCGAGCACATACCGGAATCCAAGGACAAATCGCTCTTCATGGTGGCTCATGGTGGCTTTCAAACGGACCAGGGACGTAAGACCAAATACTATGGTATTGATCTCAATATCTTGCGGTGCCTTGTAAACTGAAGTCCTCGCTACTCGGACGAAATAGCACTTGTTCTGGCCAAGGAGCAGGTAATGGGATGATCCGTCACGAAACTTCTTGGAGGTCTCAGGGTTGTCGGCCTTGGAACTGAGGAGGGTTGTGCGCTGAACCACTGGGAAAATATCCAGAGGCAGCCCGCGGCAAGAGGGCTCTTCTTTGGCAACGATTTGGTGGATGGCG